CTCCACGCCAGTGGAACCATCTGTGGGGAGGGCGGGGTACAGGATCTGGGGCGTATTGTCGTTCTGGTCCACCACGAACAGGCTGAAAGACACGTTGCTGCTGAGTGGAGGATCCCCACTATCGCTGGCTGTCACCTGCATCTGCAGTTCATGAAACTGCTCATAGTCAAAGGATCTGAGTGCATACAGGACGCCACTGTCTGAGTTGATGGATATGTAGGAGGACAGAGGTGACCCCTGGATGGTGTCTTCAGCGAGGGAGTAAATAATCCGGGCATTCTCTTTGCTGTCGGGGTCCAGCGCTGTCACTGAGAAGATGGAGGCACCCCTGGCGTTGTTCTCTGGGATATAGGTGAAGTAGGAGGCACGAGAGAAGGTAGGTGGGTTGTCATTTATATCTGCCACTTGCAGCGTAAATTGAGTTTCCGTTGATAGAGGTGGACTTCCCCTATCTGTGGCTGTTACTGTGATATTGTAAGAGGATACCTGTTCCCTGTCAAGGGCTCTGTGTGTCACCAATCTGTAATAACTATCAATGGACTTTTCTAATTTAAATGGTAGATACGCCAAAATGGAACAGGTTACCTGTCCATTCTGCCCAGAGTCTAAATCATGCACATTTAAAAGGGCTATGACTGTTCCCAGAGGTGAATCTTCAGTCACTGGACTAAATAGAGACGTGAGGGTCACCTCTGGACTGTTGTCATTTACATCTTCTACAGTAATCAACACTTTCGCAGTTGCAAGATACGCTCCTCCATCTTCTGCTTGTATTTCTATTTCATAGAAACTTGTTTCTTCATAATCTAGATTTTCTGATATTTTTATTTCTCCAGTATATTTGTTTAGTTGGAACTTCAACAGCTGCATGTCAGGTAATTTTCGGAATGAATATGTCACTTCTCCATTGGCACCTTCGTCCCTGTCGGTGGCTGTGACTGTCAGCAGCTGAGTGCCCACAGGCAAATTCTCAGGAACACTCACTCGGTATTCTGGCAAGGTGAAGACCGGCGCGTTGTCATTTGCATCGAATACGGTCACACTGACGAGGACAGTGCCAGATCTGAGAGGATCACCTCCGTCGGAGGCAGTGAGGACCAGGTGGTGAATGGCCTCTTCCTCACGATCTAGGGCACGCTCCAGTACCAGCTCCGGGTACTTGACGCCATTGGCACGGCTCTGAACTCTTAGGGAGAAGTGCTTGTTGGGGCTGAGCTGGTAGCTCTGCAAAGAGTTCACACCCACATCCGGATCAGTAGCTTCCGGGAGAGGAAAACGCATTCCCGTAGCGACATTTTCATTAATTTTTACGTCTAGATTTTCCGCTTGGAATTTTGGGGCATTGTCATTGATATCAGTTACTTCTATTTCTATCCCAAAAAGTTTCACCCTATCTTCCACAAGGATGTTAAAACTCACCAGACACCGCGCGCTCTGAGCGCAGAGCTCCTCCCGGTCTATCCTCCCCGCGGTGACCAAGCTGCCGCTGCGCGGGTTCAGAGAGAAAAGCTGCGTCCTACCTCTGGAGACGATGCGGACTCCGCGCTCCGCCAGCTCCCGGGGCGCCATCCCCAAGTCCTTGGAGATGTTGCCCACAAAGGAGCCTTTCTCTAATTCCTCAGGAATTGAATAAGAGATCTGCCGGGCTCTAGCCTCCCATGGAATCCCGAGGAAAAGGCAGAACAGGACCAGCTCCCTGCAATCCGGGCGATTCCTTTGAGCGGCCATTGTAGTCTGGTTACAGAATTCTGCAAAGTCCTCACTGGACACGTTGTGTGTTTCGACCGGTTCCTTTTTCTTTCTGTGGCTGCAGGGTGTTCTGTAGCCTGCGCACCTTAAATTCTGGAGTGAGCTTCCCTGCAGCCCAGCAGCCGGTTTGTGGGGCTTTGTGTAGTTAGAGCCCTGAGAATCCGGATTGAGCTCTGGCTGCGTTCTCTCTCCGAGCAGGTGAACAGCGGCGCTCAGAGTCCTACGAAGTTACTGCACCCAAGTGATACATGGAATGGAAAGTAAACTCCATTCTGTTGTATTATTTTATTTTACATAGATTCTTTGTTTTTTTCCCACTCCTATCTTTAAATCATTTACTATAAGTAGGTTTCTTACTGGAGGTGTGATAAAGTGGAATGAAAATACTGTAAATATCACACGACAATGTTTGGTTAAACATATACTTGCAACATGTTTTCCCGTCAGAAATGTACATACTTTAATAAAAGGTAAACAATGCTTATTTTAGGTCATATGAGTGTCTAGGTATATTCAGAAAAGTCTTACAATTTTATTTGAAATAGTGATTTAAATAGTCCTTATTTTATTTAGTATACATTCATACAAAGACTATATTAAATAAACTTCATGAGATAACTCACTCTGAAGCTTTATCATTTTAACTACTTAATTCACTAAATTTATTTAGCTTAGGATTGTGTAAGAGGTTTTCAAAGTACTCTTCCAGAATAGGTTTACTGAGCCTTAATGAACCTTTTTGTGAAAAACGTACTTTAATTTATAGGCATACAAGTTAAGTGGACCCATTTAAACGATTGAGCAGGTAATCACAAACTAAAAAGAACATATACTACAGTTGCAAATTAAAATGTTTGCATTGTAATGAGAAAAGAAATATGTAGAATTTGAAGTACTAAAGATTTTAAAAAACAAAGTTAGATGTAGTGATATAGGTTTTTAACCAATAAGTGTCTATGTCAACCTATTTTCATCAGAGCATGAATACTAACACAAATATTCTCTTCTTTTAGGCAGTTTGCATGAGAGGCCAAAGTCAAGTAGTTCACATATCTTCAACTGTGTGTGCCCATCAACCCAACAGCAATCATTCCCTCAAATGTAAAGACAAAGTTCACTTCTTTCACACAGAGAACAGGATGTTCAGAAGTGTTTATGTCACTATGCCTCCCAAGTATAGAACTCTTCAAAGATTTTACCTTTTTTCTTCAAAAATCTTCTATCAGAGAATCAGACAGAGACTGAGAGCAAAGGTAAAAGCACTTCATTTGATTTTTTGGAAATGTCTTTTTTTTTTTGAGGCAAGGTCTTGCTCTGTCACCCAGACTGGAATGCCGTGAAACAATCACAGCTCACTGCAGCCTAGACCTCCTGGGCTCAAGCGATTCTCCTACCTCAGCCTGCAGAGTAGCTAAGACCACACGCACATGCCAACACACCCTGCTAATTTTTAAATTTTCTGTAGAGATGGGGTCTCACTATGTTGTACAGGCTAGTCTCAAATTCCTGGAGTCAAGAGATTCTCCACCTCCACCTCCCAAAGTGCTGGGGTTACAGCACACTTGGCCCTGCCTGCACATTTATTTATTTATTTATTTTAGAGACAGGGTCTTGCTCTGTCACCCAGGCTGGAGTGCAGTGGCAAGATTAGGGCTCACTGCAGCCTTGACCTCCCAGGATCAAACAGTCCTCCCAGCTCTGCCTCCCAAGTAGCTGAGACCACAGGGGAATGCCACCACATTCTGCTAATGGTTTTGTTTTTTGTTTTTGTTTTGTTAGAGATGGGGGTCTCCCTATATTGCCCAGGCTGGTCTCCAACTCTCGGGCTCAAGTGATCTTTTCCGCTTCAGCCTCCCAGAGTGCTGTAATTATAGGTGTGGGCCACTGGGTCTGCCTTCTGAATAATTTTAGGTCTTAAAAACATATAAATAAGATATGGTGAATTCACTAAGCACATTTGAGTAGACAGGTTACTTGTTTATTTTCTTAGATGCCAAGACCACTGCTTCTGTTCACTAGTCAGAACTTTACAAAATATGGTGGCTCATACCTGTACTTCCAGCAGTTTGGGAGGCCAAGGCAGGTGAATCACAAGGTCATGAGTTTGAGACCAGCCTGGCCAACATAGTAAAACACTGTCTCTACTAAAAATACAAAAAAAAAAAAATCAGCCAGGTGTGGTGGCAGGCACCTGTAATCCCAGCTACTTCAGAGGCTGAGGCAGGAGAATTGCTTGAATCCAGAAGGTGGAGGTTGCAGTGAGCTGAGATTGAGCCCCCGCACTCCAGCCTGGGCAATAGTTCAAGATTCCATCTAAACAACAAGACAAACTAACTTCAATCTGGTGACATTCTTTTACAAAAAGGTAGAGCAACTTATAAACCAAACACGTTAGTGGAAACTATAATTGACAAAACGTTGAGAAAAGATGATAAAAAGCTATGAATTTAAAAATATAATTGTAGATATGAAAATAAAGTAGTATGCCTAAAATATGAGAAACTAGTAGACTATTAGAGAAATCACACAGAAAAAAGAGAAACTCACCGAAGTTAGAGTCTCAGGATGTGAAGTCAAATCCTCCCCACCATGAGATGGAATTAAGGCTCCAGGAGAATCACTGCAAACCATGTCTTCATTGGAATGTAAGGGCGCACTACATTTTAGGAAATTAAACTCTTTTGTACCTGTATGCGCAATGCACAGATTATAAGAATAAGGCAAAGTCCCCTCACTGTAGTTGGGGGGAACTACAGGTCCAGACTTGACACAGAGACCAGGCTGGAAGCAGTCCCAAGTAGGGCTGAGAGAGCGTCGCAGGCGCAAGGCAATGGCCAGAATCACAGCAAGGAGGAAGAGCACTGAGATTAAGGCCAAGGCCACCACCAGGTAAAACTGCAGTTCAGCCTGGGCGTCAGAGGGTACAGGACGGTCACTGACGTCTGGCAGTATCTCTTGCAAGTTGTCTGCGAATACCAGATGCAGCGTGGCGGTGGCGGAGAGTGGCGGCTGTCCACCATCACGCACAGCGACCAGCAGGCGCTGGCGGGCTGCGTCTCTGTCGCCTAAGGCTCGAGCCGTGCGCACCTCTCCCGTGCGCAGCCCCAGGCTGAAGAGCCCGGGCTCGCTGGCCTGCAG